TTCAGGCAGGAGAGGGACTAGCCTGGTCTCCTTAGATGAGGCCTCAGGGAAGCAGAGAAGGGCTGCGGGCTGTGGGCATGCAGGGCCTGGACTGGTCCCAGCTGATGCTCCCCAGCAAGGAAAGGGGGTCTCAGACCTACAACCTCAAGGCACTGAGTTTGGCCGCATGAATGAGGCTCCAGTGGGGACGCAGCCCTGTGAGCACCTTGATGCTGGCCTGTGGGACCCTCCGCAGGGGACCCCGTGCGTTTCCCTGCGTTTCCGGCTTACAGACCTGCGGTCCCACAGGGCTGTGTGTTAAGCTGAGGTTGTGGCACAGGCACACCTCAGAGACTCCGCGGGTTCGGTCCCAGACCACGCAACCAGCGAGTGTCACCGTGAAGGGAGTCACGTGAACGTGGGTTCCCAGAGCTTGTAAAAGCCACGTTCACACCATGCTGTGGCCTGCACGCATGCAGTACAGTATGTTTGAACCTGTGGACATACCTTCACTAAAATGCTAGCCATCAGCTGGGCCCGTTGGCACAGCGGCTTCACAGACTCGCCCCTGCGGGTCGCCTCGCCTTCCCTCTCTGAAGCACGCAGGGCCTGCGGGCGGCATAGAGCCAGGCAGGCCTGTCAGTGACGGCAGCACAGGAAGCGAGCCTTTGGGGCGCCGGCCCACGGAGCCAGTCCCTGCTCAGTGCCTGGCACGCGTGGACGCGGGCACTGTGGGCTGCGTCCTGGGTCTCTGCACAGGCGGCAGCTGTGCTCCCGGGGATGCTGACCGCGCACAGGGAGTTCCTGCGAGAAGCCCCTCGATGGGAGCGCCCTGGGCGGTGCCTCCTGGACACGGAGGAACAGGGCACCGCAGCCAGCGGCTCCTTAGTGTCGGCCCCTCCGGGCTCCTCAGGGGCCCGTCCATCGAACCCTCGTCGGGTACCCCTGTTTATTGCGCGGCTGGGATTGGGGCCACAGGGAGGCCGGCCCGGCGCGGGCTTTGGCGTGTATGTTCTGTTCTTTTTTCTTACTTTTTAGGTGAAAAATAACCCCCCACAAATCTCCAAATATAAAATTATAGATATTAGGTTCCTTGGAATTACCTTTAAGAATGGGAAAGGCTAGCCCTAGCCCGTTTGGCTCAGTGGCTAGAGCATCGCCTGCCGACTGACGGGTCCTGGGTTCGATTCCGGTCAAGGGCACGTGCCTCCTGCAGGCTTGCTCTCCTGTGTGGGAGGCAACCAGCTGGTGTGTCTCTCACATTCACGTTCCTTTCTCTCTGTCTCCCCCTCCCACTCTCTCTCTAAATGCAATTCGAAAAATATCCTCGGGTGAGGATTAACAAACAAACAAGAATGGTAAAGTCTAGCATTTGATCATAAAAATAAATGACTAATGAATAATTTCCTACTTTAGTGAAATTATGAAATTTTTAAATTAGATATTAAATATGTTGCTATTTTAAATGAACATAATATTGGTGTGAAGTACACGTCAGCATTGTTTTCTTCGAGAGTAGCAGCTATTAACGTTAACGCGGGCCATCTCTTCCTGATCTGACACACTGTGATTTTATACTTTCCCTTAATTGAGCTGAGATTAAAAATGGAGTGTCAGGATGAAGCTTTGTCTTCACGCTGCCTTCACTGCTGCCCTCACTGCCCTCACTGCTGCCCCTTGCTGCCCTCACGCCTGCCCCTCGCTGCCCTCACCCCTCCCTATGCGTGCAAATTTGGGGAACCAAGGGAAATAAAGCTTGTAAATAAGCACTAAATTTTACCAGCCCACAATTTGTTTTTGCTCCCCGTAGGTACACAGATAGTAAATTTTGTCAGATCAAAACAGTTCTTAGTATTCAACCAGTAGCATCATTTGTCCTGAGCAAACATGCAAGGGGTTTCTTTTTGAGGCTGAATGAATAGGCAGTTAAAAGTAAATGCTATCTCTCCAGATCCCAACGTGCTCGAATTCACTCGAAGGGGAACATTTTTCTACACTGAATTTGTATCCAGATGAAACTGCCTGCTGCCCTCACTGCCCTCACTGCTGCCCCTTGCTGCCCTCACGCCTGCCCCTCGCTGCCCTCACTGCTGCCCTCACGCCTGCCCCTCGCTGCCCTCACGCCTGCCCCTCGCTGCCCTCACGCCTGCCTCGCGGGTCTCCCCTCTGAGAGGATGCCCTGGCAACACAGTCACGGGAGAGAGGATTCACGCCACTCATTTATTTTGTTCTGTGTGTAGCTTCATCTTAGAATCAAAGTCCAGGTTGATGAGGTTTCACACAGAATTTGTCAAATTTCCGACTGCACACTGGTAGATGCCCTAGTTCCTGCGAGATGTTTTGCAGTATAAGAAAATACTTCAAATGTTTTTTTCAAAATATTTAGGAAACATTTTAGTTGTTAATAAACATTGCACTGTTGGAGGGGTTCAGAGGGAACACTGTCTAAAACAGGACACGCCACAGGGATTTTTAACTTGGACCTCGCGACAGAGAGAAACGTGGCTCACATCACCTTATTCCAAATATGAGGCTCCGACACGGCCAGGGTCCTGCAGCACCGCTGGTCACCAGCAGCCTAGCTGGGCGGGGGGTCATACGGCAGGTTCCACGTCCTGCGCGAGGATGTGGGGAGCCTGTTCTCCACGTGTCGGTCCACGTAACTGGAAATGGTGGGAATCTCATCCTGGTCTGAACTCCGGGCGCTGTCCCCCACCCCCCCCACCGCCAGGCCCGGCTGCCCGCCTTTCGCAGGGCTACCCAGGGCGTCCTCCAGAACTTGCTTGAAGATGTGGACAATTTCCCAGGGCAGCACATCATTTTCTGCCAGAACTTCTCGAAACCTAGAGGCAAGCAGTGACGCACACGTGGGTCAGGCCGTTCCCTTTCCACCCCCGCCTCCCACATGCAGCCTGTCCCGTGGCCGCGTGGCAGTGCCCACCTGTGGGTCTGCACGCGGCTTAATTATGCGTCTAGGACAGGGATCTCAGTGACGGAAAACACGTCTAGCCAGTAAGGTAGTGACAGGTAGTTCTCGTAGGTGTTCGGTTGCTGATAGAGGGCCCTTGCCCGCCTGGATGCGTGAGTGCTGACACCCGCAGTACGGGCATCAGGAGGAAGTGGGGGCTGTTACCTGCTGAGAATGGCTCCCGCCTGGCAGGGCTGAACTTGCGCACAGAGAGCTTCCAGCTGCCTCTGTTCAGTAGCGGGGATGGTCGTGTGGGGGTTCTGGTAGGTTCTCAGCCAGGTGTACTCCACACCCGCCCGCGCCCCGGGGTGCTCATGGTCCATCTCTTGTATGAACCTCTCTCGCTCCTGCAGGTGCCACTGTAGCTCCCGCAGGAGTGTCCTGGCCACGGCCTTGGAGCCCGGGCGGCGCGCCGCTTGGCAGGGGTTGTGCTTGGGCCACCTCATCCAGCCGAAGAGTGGCATCTGGCCTGTGGGAGTGTCCCCACTTGTTTATTTGCATACAGTGTCACGGTTCTGATGAGCAAATATTAGTCTCATCATAATACGTTTCCCAGGAAAGTGGATGAATTTTCCACTGGTTAGATATACAGAGCAAAGTAAGATCGAAACGTGAGTAAAGTCTTTTAATTCCCAACTAGGTTGGTGCCCTGAACCAAGCTTTAAAAATACTTTGTGTAGCTAAGCAGAAAGGAAATACACAAAGTGAGAGAGAATCTGCACACTGAACATTTTCTGAGAGTCACACTGAACACTTGCTCTTAAAAGTTCTTAGGACACTTTAAAATATTAGCATACAGCCAAGTGCTCCGGAAACATGCTTGACACGGCTTGGACAGACAGGGGTCAGAGCGTACCTGGGGCTGCGGTCCGCTGCGGGGTGCTGCCGCCGGCTCCCTCGGCCCCTCCGCTGCTCCTGCTGTGCCTGCGGAAGGCGCCTCCGCGCTCACCACTGGGGCTGCACTTGAAATAAATAACTTTCTATGTTAGGAACGAGGTTGTGAAGTCTTCCCGTGGAGAGCGCTCATTAATTCACCTTGTAAGCAAGCGGAAGAAACGACAAAAATAACTTACTACCGAAGCTGCACCACTTACATAAGGCTGCCTTTTGAATGCAGCTCAGTCATCTGAAAAGATGCCCGCGGCCCCGGTGCTGGCCCTCGATGCGTTCAGGCATGGGTCGGGAGGGATGTGGACGCCGAGCCAGCAGATGTGCCCCCAGGACGTGGGGCTGTCGCCTGCCGCTGCCTGCTGTGCGCTGCGGGTCACAGTGGAGCTGCAGTTCGTGCCTCCGGAGCTCCAAAAATAACCTTGTTGCTTTGATTCTTCAGCTTCGCTCCCAAGCATGGGGAGCAGGTCCCTGTCCTCTGTGGTGACAGCAGGGAAAGTGGACCAGGCTGGACTGTTTGCGAAGCACCCGCTCTGAGCGAGTCCCATAACCAAGTAAAAGGGGCAGAGCGCGCTGGGTCAGGGTGCGCTGGGTCGTAGCCGTGACTCTACTCGTTTCTTTCTGAATAGGAGGGTGTGCAGGCGGGTCACAGCGAGTGGAGGCCATGTGTATGCAAGCGGATAGCTGACGTGCATGCGATCTCTGGAAGCACGGTGCTGAGGCAGGAATGGATTAAGGCCGGGAAAATGGAGCCGTGAGGACATGTGACTCACTGTAGCGACCACCGCCTGTCTGGCAGGTGCTGAGGGCCAGGGCGCAGGCGGGTCTGGCTGAGGAGCAGGCGGGGTCCCCTCCCCAGGCCTGTGTTCGATGACAGCGCAGCGGCTTTGCCTTGGATGACATTTCACAATCTTTCTCTCCGGCCTTTTCCTCCAAATGACCCGTGAAGAACAGACTGGTTCACGTTAGCCCTGCGTGTCGTGGTGAGAGAGGCCGAGGTGTGGCCACCGCAGCGCCAGCTGCTCACAGGGCAGGCGGCGCCATCAGCTGCAGCCGGGAGGTTCCCAGTGCGGTGGCGGCCGGCGCTCGGGACCGTGCCCTGCGGCCTCTGTGCTGCTTCCCCGGGTGCCCGCCTCTGATTGCCGGGGTTCATGCTGCCCCGGACATGGTGCAGGCCGCCTGGAGCATGTAGGCTGCGGAACCAGCACAGGGTTTCTGCTCAGGGCTCTGCAGGCTTCCCGCGTCCCCCCACCTGGCCCCTCTGGCTCTGCCCAGAGCACGCTTGGTCCCAGCCAGGTCTGACCCTCACCGCCCTCTGGGCCGCCTTGGCTGTGTCCGCATGCAGACCTGCGCGGCCCTTCTCATTTTTCTTCTGATCTTTGCCTAAATGTCTCCTTGTCCTATTAGCATTGCCCCTCTCCTCTCTGCTGCGTTCTCCCTGGGAACCTGTCACCGCTGCCACACTGCCCATGGTCCTTCTCTCTCCAGTCGACTGCAGCCGCCAGGCTCTGAATGACGCTGTGCTGAGGGAATAGGAGTAGATAGCAGGGAAACTGTGATCAGAAGAACGCCGGTGGGGCCGGTGTATCAGACAAGTGGCGCCTTTAATGCGAATCCATTGTATTCAAGTGACTGCACACCTCAGTGCTGGCATCACCGTCCTTCTGACAGCAGCGCCTTCCAGGTGGACCCTCCCAGGAGCCCCAAGTGTCGCGGGTGGTTTGCATGTCACAGTGCAAGTGTCTTTTCTCACTGAACGATTTGGACATTTTTAAAAAAACTGATTTTAGAGAGAGGAGGGGAGAGGGAGAGAGAGGAACATTGAATGGCTGTCTCCAGTATGCTCAGGCAGCAATTGAACCCACACCCAGGCGTGTGCCCTGACCGGGAATCGAACCAGCGGCCTTTTGTTGCACAGGACACTGTTCAACCAACTGAGCCACACCAGCCAGGCTGTTTGGGACCTTGTGTCTGTTAGTGTGGGTATAGCCTCCGTTGGCATTCTTTAAAAAAGGAAACAGGTTAAGTAAGAGAAGGCCATAGGTGAGCGTAGCCTCTGTGGGGCCTTTCCCCCCAGGTTTTAACTCTCACAAGTCTGATGAGAAGGCACCCTGCCTCCCGGGACCCTTAGGCCCTGCCTGTCACAAATGAATGTCCTGCAGGTCTGGATGTCTCTTCCCTGGGATGACACTCCAGAGGCCGGGCTTGGCTGTCGCTGCTGCGCCTCTGGGCCTGAGACTGCCTCCCGTGTGCTGGCGACAGGCAGCACTCGCTGAATGCCCCGAGGCGTCTGCGCCGCCTTGCCCGCGCCTCCTGCCCCCACGTGCTCTGCAGAAGCCGTGGCGGGGACAGGTGTTGGCTGCAGAGCTGTGGGCTCTAATGGACACGGCAGGCGGCCTGCCTTCAGAGGAGATGCCAAACCGATCTACCACCCTCCCTATAATCTAAGAATTTATTTATTTGCCAGTTTGAAGGATGAAGGAATGGTTTCGCATCACTTCAATTTGCATCTGCTTGGAAAATGACTACGAATTTGAGTGTATTTTTGCTTTTTTGTTGTTAATCCTCACTGAGGATATTTTTCCATTGATTTTCAGGGTGAGTGGAAGAGAGGGAAAGACAGAGAGAAACAACAGTGTAAGAGAAACACATTGATTGGTTGCCTCCTGCACGAGCCCCAACCAGGGCCTGGGCTTGGGCCAGGGAGGAGCCTGCAGCCAAGGTACATGCCCTTGACCAGAATCAAACCCGAGACCCTTTGGTCCGCAGGCCGACGCTCTGTCCACTGAGCCAAACCGGCTACGGCTCCTTTTACTTGTTTATGGACCATTTGCATTTCTTCTGTGCCTTAGTGAAGAGTGTTCAGGCATTCGGCGCAGGGTGACTCCTTGGCTTTTGGAAACAGTGTACTAAGTTCTGATCCTCTTTGCAGGTCACTGAGCCAGAAGAGCGGGGAACTGGAGTACATTAACAAGTACCGACAGCTCGAAGCACAGGAGTTTGACATGCATGGCAGTGACCACCCAGCCCGCGGGCCAGGTAACCGGCATCGTTCCCTGTTGCAAAATGGGAAGTGTGAGCTGTTCACTCGCTAAAACGTTAACTTCTTCTTTTTAGTTGAATTTTTGGGATGATGGTTAATAAAATTATATAGGTTTCAGTGTACAATTCCATGATATATCACCTGCACAATGTATGATGTAGCCTTTTGGTCAGTAGAGTTCATGCTGCTTGCTAATTTGGGATTTGGGGGGCTAAAGTGATCATTTTTCTCTTTTGAATATAGGTTCTAAATAGTCTGTTCTTTGGAAGACTAATAACGTTATCTTACTATTAATTAGAAACTTATTTAAGAATTATCATTTAAGAAAAATAAGTATATTAAGACAAAAATCTAACCAGAGCATAACTTGTAACGTGAAGGTGAAGGTCCTTGCTAGCACCCGCCCTCAAGGTCAGGCCACTCTGCTCTGAGTTTGGATGAACGACTTTCTGTAGCAGCAGCGCTGGTCACCGCGGGTGCCAGCGTCACAGGCTGCTCACCCGGACTCCCGCGGGGCAGCCGGCAGCGAGGGCTCTGCTCCTGCTCGGCGTGCGGGCTCCGGCCAGGGACAGAGGTCGGGTGGAGCAATAGTTCCTCTTCAGGAGCCTTTAGAGGCCACGGAGCAGAGTCTGCACACGGTACATCCTCCGGGCTGAGCGGGGCTTCCTGACAACTGAGGTGCTGGTGCTGCCCTCGCTCTGGAGGTCGGAGCCGTTGCCGTGCCCCTGCTCGCTGAGCTTTGTGGTCCCGTTCCTGTCACGTGCCTCACGTTGCTGTCTCACTGGTGGCCTTTCACCTGTGCCTCCCCCGCCTTCTGGCCTGTTGCCGACTTTGGCCCGGTGCCTCCGCATGGTCTCCTCAACCCTTCGGTTCTTAAAGAGGATGTTTGTGGACTCTGTGCAGCCTCTTTAGCTGCCCCCCCAGTTGGTCGGACACCCAGTAAGTTGGTACCAGCAGTGGTGGTTCTCAGTGCGCGTGTCCTCCCACTGCCCCCCCACCGGTTCTCGCGTCTCTAAGAAAAGTACCAGCTGTGCGGTGAGAACGCTGACTGCTCAGCCGTTTCTCTGGGAAGCCAGGGCGCCTCCTAGCGGCCGAGGGCGAGCGGTGACCTGATGGGGAGGGCGTGCAGCTCCAGCGGCAGCAGGAGGGCCACGTAGGCTGGTGTGGAGACACATGGGCTGGGTGTCGGTTTGGGGAAGGGCGTTGGGGCCAGGTGACGCGCTGGCTACACCGAGGACCACTGGCCCTTTACACACATCCAGTGCCCCTGGGCTCGGAGCCCTGTGCGGCCTGCGGAGTGGCCCTGGGGAAGAAGTGGGCTGCACGTGAGGCCTGCGACTCCAGCGTCTGCTCTGTGGCCTTGGTTTGGACTCGCGTTTGGAGCGGCTGCCACTTTCCTGAGACCCCAGCTCACATCAGAAGCCCTTGTCTGGGGACCCATAGCGCGGCCTTTCACACCTGTCTCCAGAAGCACAGCTGTGCAAAGGGCAGCCTCTGCCGGCGGGGCCGGGCCTTCACTTAGCATGTGCCCGCCACAGTCCCTGGCACGCGCTGAGTCAGTACTGCCGAGGTGCCAAGGACTGAGGAGAAAGCAGCAGCGCCCTGGCCTAGGCATTGAGCCCAGACCTGCAGGGGCGAGGGCCAACGCCAACCACCAGCAGGACACTACATGAAGGTTTTTAAAAAGGCACATTATTTTTTAAAAATTGAGATTTAATAGCATCTTCTACCTGTGAGCCTGGCTCCAAACTGGCTCCTGTTGTCAGGGTTTCCGCTTCGACATGGCAGGTTCGCCTTGTCCTGGGTGTGTCCTTAGGGCTGCGGCTTTTTTTTTTTTTTTAATATATTTTATTGATTTTTACAGAGAGGAAGGGAGAGGGATAGAGAGTCAGAAACATTGATGAGAGAGAAACATCGATCAGCTGCCTCCTGCACACTCCCCACTGGGGATGTGCCTGCAACCGAGGTACATGCCCCTGACCGGAATCGAACCTGGGACCCTTGAGTCCGCAGGCCGATGCTCTATCCGCTGAGCCACACCGGTCAGGGCAGGGCTGCGGCCTTTTCACTTGGGTCCTTGAGTGCTGGCAGCTCTTCTGGTTTGAGGGCTGGCCTCTGCTGAGTGTTCAGGGCGGGCAAGAGAGGCCTGCAGTTGTACAAATAAATGACACGATAGTGAGTGAGACTCCGGAGTCAGCTGTTCCCCGGACTCACAGCTCCGCGCTTGCCCCTCCCCGTATGAGAACCCAAAGGGGAGACGTTCTGGTTTAACTTGGTATGAGATGCCTGCCCACACCGGGAGAAGCAGCCTGCAGACCCCTATTTGAAGACGGAATCTCGTGCTTCAATCAGCAGGGCAGGAAGTCAGCTGGCTGCCCGTGACGTCAGGTTTGGGTTTGAGGTGAGAAACGTTAATACAGTATGTTCTCCGGGAAGCCACCCCGTCCTGTGGAACCCCTCGCCACTCAGCTTCCTAGAAGGGAGACTTTGTGAACAGAAACCAGCGTGGCTTATGGTCTCCAGACCTTTCCAGTGGGTGTAAGATATTTTAATGTTAATTACCTACAGTAAGAGACAGCAGGGAACCGAGCAGCCCGCTGTGAGGTTGGGGTGCTTCCCATGTCCCATTGGGACTGCACTTGGCTGTGTCGAGTTTGTGATTTGCCTTCACTTATCCATTGCCTTTTCCTGGAGAGCGTAGCAGCGCATTCCCTGCCAGCTGCCGTGGGAGGACAGTGAGGGGAGGCTGTGAGGCTTGGAAAGCTGTCCGGGTGGGTGCAGCGGGCACCCCCGAAGTCAGTGGCCTCTGATGGCCCAGCAGCAGCTTCTTCTGCTCTGAGAGATTTGACAGCTCTGGCTCTTCTTTCAAGTTTAGAAAAGTGCCACACCCTGATGCAAACACAGGCAGGTGGCTACCTCCCATCACCTGTTATCAGAGCAGCTAATAAGCCTGGACGCAGGGAGGACACAGAGAGCAGAGGAGAGCTTGGGCAG